CCAGGGCAGTGGTTGGGGGGGCTGGGGGAGTGAGTGGGGCCATTGGGAGTCCCCCCTCCCCCCTCCTCCAGCTCCCTCGACACCTTACTCACCAGCACTGGTGCCCTGGTGCCAAAACATGTGGCCTGGCCAGCTGCGTGTTTCAGCACCAGGGCAAGGGCCAACCATAGAGATGCTCTGGCAGCCAGAGCATCTCCATGGAGGACCCAGCCTCTGGATGCTCCACTTTTTTTAAACTTCAATTTTTTTTTAGACCCCTGGATACCCAGGGGCCTAATTTTCTCCCCGCGCTGCAAGTTTGCAGCGTGGGGAATGTTTTTTCATTCCCGCACATGCCTGTTGCCCCACCTCAAAGGGGTTTGAGGCAGGGCAAGAGACACATGTGCACTTGTGTGGACGCACTCACACAGTGCAGGACAGGAAAAGTCTCTGCTACCAAATAATCAGCAAGACCAGGCTCCACAGGCTGGATCCAATGATGTTTCAGGCTGTAGGTTGCCAACTGCTGAATACTATTTATGCACAAACATGCCAGACCTAGCTGCATACACATATTATGGCTTTTGCTGGTTTCTGGCAACTTGTAAAATGCAGAATAAGGCAAGTGCTGCTAGAAGACCTACAAATGGTTTTAAAGTATCCTTTCTTCTTTATATGTACTTCAATTTTTTTCTTTTCTAGGATTTTTTCTGCTGAAATATGGCATTTTCTGGCTAGACTTTCTCTGCTGCCAGCCAGAGGAAAATGACAGTCATCAAATCAGTTATCAGGCTAATTTACTGATAATTTTTGCATATGTTATTGGACAAGAATATGGATTTGATTATTCAGCTAGTTTTGCAGATTGGTTGGTGGACAATGAGTCAAATACACACCCATTCTTTAATCAGAATTTTTTTTTTTTATTTGTTTGTGGGTGGGAGATCAGAACTGATGAGTATTTTAAGCAATAGTCACCCAGCTTTCTCTCTCTCCCTCAGCCTTGTGTTAGTCCCCGCTGTGGGGATTCCTCCAATGGCTTCATGTTCCTTGGCACAGAGTATCTGAGACACTCACCCTCACCTGAATCATAAAACTACTGGCCTATCCTTATGTAAATACCAACTTGAATACCCATGGGTGTCTGGTGCCTCTTGAGTCAGGGGGGACATGTGCCCCCCTTTACACTATTTCAGCGACTGGGGGGGAAGGGGCCCCCGGCAGCCAGATCCCACTGACCAGGGGAGGGGGTCTCCCCACGGCTGATTCCACTGACCTGGGGGGGGGGCGGCCCATGGCCAATCTCACTCACCATAAAAGCTCCTGCGGCCACTTCCAGAAGCAGCACAGCCACTTTTGCGGCCAACCCCTCTCCCCCTGGCCAGCACTTGCAGGGTGGGCACTGATGCTCCCACCTACACCTCTGCCCGCTAGCTAAATGGGGAGCATGGCCAGTCAAGGGGTGCACCAGCACCCCTGTGCACCCCTACCCATCCCCCCTGTGAATACCTCTGCCAATCCCTTACAAGCAGAAACAGATGCACTCTCTTTCACAAACACAGTCTCACACACGTGTATGCATACACACATAATTTCTATACTCATCCAGCAATTTATTGAGGCTACTGGCATGACAGGCTATGTGTTGCTAGAATGCACACATACTGGGGCTGTTTCTCTCTCAAAAAGAAAGCAATTAAAAAACAAAACACATACTTTCTGTCTCTCACTCTTGTTTCTACATTCCTGTCTTTCATGGTTCATCTTCACAGGCCTTGGCACACTTCCTTTCTCTCCTCTGCTGGACATGGGAGGAAGAGAAGGCCTTGCTGACTGCCAGCCCCTTACCACACACATTTTAGGATGCTTTCCACACTTGGTGATCCTGAGAAGGAGTAGTCCCAGAAAGCAGGAGACCCCACGTACCACAGATGTGCCTGATTTCTACACAGACTTGGACATTCATGTCACTATAGAGGTAAATCAAATCATTTCAGTCAAGGCCCAGGTACTGAAAAGGGAGCAGAAATGGCTTCCCAATAGGGTTGTGTGAAATTTCGCCAGCTGTTTCATTTCGATGCTGTTTCGACTCGTGACATGGGTGTCTGAAACTGTGTGTGTGTTAAGGTGCTGGGGGCTCTACACAATGCAGTAGTATGCCCCAGTGAGGTTTCCTCCTCCTCTACAGCCTCAGTCCAGTCCACCAATTTAAATGACAACAGGTAAGACAATCTGGTGTCTTTTAGTAGGCCAACTGTATAGTTAGAAAGTGTACCTTAGCAAGCTTTTGCATTAAAAAACCCTTTGTCAGGCTGAGGAAGCACCTGCATTTGGTCTGTGTGTCTGCTGGTCCTGGATGGAAGGAGTAGTAAGGAAGCCAGAGGCTGGCCTGGCATGCAATGCAGATAAGAAAGCCAGTTGGTGGAAATGGAAATGGAGGTGTCAGGGGGTGAGGGACAGGCTGGGGTGGGGGAGGGAAGGGAGATGTAGCAGCGCAGGTAAAAGTGCAAGAGGTACCTGGGGAAATCAGAAGTTCGGCAGGTTGTAGTGTCAGAATTCCACTGTTTATATTGAGTCCATGAGTTTCTGTATCTAGGAGGCTGATGAAGTAAAGTTCATATGCCCAGCTCTGAAAAGTGGTTTGTAAATTCAAACAAGCACCAAACTCAGGGGTAGGCAACGTTTTTTGGCCAGAGTGCTGAAAAACACCATAATGCCTACCTTGGAAGGTGCCGGAGTGCCGGCATGGCAGAAAAACAAAATGAGGGCAAGGGGTATGTGGCCGTTGGGGCTCGAACACCTGGTCACATGCTGCTTTACTTCGTGTGGCGGGTGATGTTTGCCTCGCACACTCTCGTTGCTGACCGAGTAGTTGTTCACTCTTGAGGTGGTTTGCCCTTATCTCACCTGCCATGACTTTGAATGTTCCCAGTGGGGGCTGCCTCCTCAGGGGTCTCTCGATCGGGTGTAGTCTGTCCGACGGTCACTTACGGGGCTCTGCCACTGCTACACTCCATCCTTACTCCGCCTTGCTGGTTGGATGGGCCAAGTCCCTCCTCTGTGCTGCAGTCGAGGGTATCGTGCTAATATCTTGTCCTAGATTCCTTCTTTTATACCCGACCGAAGAACCTGTGCTTGGTCAACACCTATCTTGGCCTCATGGATTAGATCACAATGTAGATCTCTAAGGTTCCTGCCCCCAAAGCACTCGGTTACCTGGGCCCTTTTCTTCTCAACCCCTTGGCTTGGGGAAAACCAAAAGAAAACAAAATCACACTGTTAAGCCCTGGGGTCCCAAGCTCTTTCCCCTTGGGGACTTGGTTTGGCTAATCCCGTCCTCTCTACCTCTCAACCTCTTCATGCAGGGTGTCACGGGCGGGGTCCTGCAGGAGGGCCGTGATCTCCTCAAGGCCCCCTCCCCGTGCCAAGTTGGCCCAAGGGCACCCTCAGATTCTTTCCTGCCATGTCTTTGATGTTCCAGTGTATTAGGGAGGCTGCCTCACGTCTACTTGGACACAGTTACTTCTGGCTCCGTGAACTCCCGGACTCTTCGTGGGTCTCACTCTACGATGGGTGCTTCAGGGGCACCCTAGCCTTAAGGGCTATGCGTGGCTCCAACCACCCCTTATACCACACCCCAAGCCTCGCAGCTGAAATGGACGTTGTTCAGTCTCTCTCGGGGGCCTTCTCTGCAAGGCCGCCCTCTCTCGGGGCATGCCGTGCCCACTCTGGGCTTTTCCACAATGCCCCCTTCTCTGGGGCTTCTCAACTGCCCCTCTCTGGGGCTGGGGTCTCTGTACCCTGAATGCTGCACCCTCCCTGGCGCTAGGGTCCTCACACTCTACCATGGGTCCCCTATGAGGATGCTGTGCCCTTACTGGCGCTGGGGTCCCCACTCCACTGTGAGTCCCCTATGAGGCCTCCTCCAACCCGTAATAGCCTCACCCAAACCACCAGTGTAATGAACAGCAACACAAACTCGAGCCTCCTGGCTATAACTTAAACATAAGCCGCTTGGCTATAACAACACTTGGCCTACCAGGGCTCTTCATCCCGCCGCTGTATCATGTGCTGCTCTTTCAGCAGGCTTCTCCTCTCTTTTGCAGCAGAGAGCTCCTTCTTCTTGGGCTGCTGGCAGGGAACTGCCTCTGGCCTCCTGTCTGTGATTTATATAGGAGCCAGGCCCTGCCCCTTTCAGTCAGCTGACCTCCTGGTTGCCCTGGCAACCCACAGCTGGGCTCCTTATTCCCTGCTAGGGCTCTTTCTCTAGCAGTTTTCTGCTCTTTAGGAGCAGGGCACCTAAGTGCCCTGTGACATGGGGAAACAAAAACCAAAACCAGTAACGAAACTCTAAAGTGCCTTGCTTGGCGTCAAGCCAGGACTCTAGGTAGTCCCCTGCCTACAGATTCTGGGGCCTCGCTCCCTTGGGGTCTACCCCAGGTATGACCCCTGTGTGCCGTACACCCGTAGTCTCCTCTCTCTGGAGCAGCTTAAGCCAGGTGTCCCATGGCCTCACCACACGTGGCTGTTCGCCTTCCGGATTCAGGGCAAACACCCTGTTCTTCCGCCATCCTCCCCGTTGCTCCTCTCAAAGCTCTCCCCACGGTGTTGCTTCTTCCTCCTCCCCGTCATTTCCCTGGCTCCCACCTGATATATTGTGGGTCCTCATGGGCTTGTTTCTTCCTTCTTTGCAGTGGCTGTCTCCGCAGCCTGCAAAGACTGTTTTTGTCTATATAGCTGCCGGCGTGCTCCCTACCGCCGCCGGCACACTCCTCCTCAGGAGCCTCCTCTGGCTCCTTATCCAAGGCTTTGTGCCTCCTGGGGATTTCCAGGTGTGCATTGTCCGCCCACACACTTCTCCAGCTCTCTCCTCCTCTCCCTTTGCTGTCGGTCACCATCTTTATCTTCGCTGGCCGGTGATTATTGATGACATCACCGGCCAGTCTCAATTGAATAAAAACACGGCTGACGAGCCATGCAGGTTCCTCCTCTTGCTCCCGCCTCACTACCGCTCCTGCTGCGGGTAAGTGTTTTTTTCTTATTTTATTTCTTTGATTTGTTGTGTCCCCTTCTTGTTCTCTCCTGTGACAGGGTACATGGCAGGATACCCTGCTTGTGCCCCATGCCCCCCACTCAAAGCCCCTGGCCCCCAGCCCTGCTGCCCCTTGCCCTCCACCCAAAGCCTCTGCCCCACAGCCCTACTGCCCCTTGCCCCCAGTCCAAAGCCCCTGACCCCCAGGCCGGGTTCTGTGGCTGCCAGCAGCTACCC